TTTTTTTTTTTTTTTTTTTTTTTTTTTTTTTTTTTTTTTAATATATATATATTTATAAATCCCGAAGAGGGCATCAATGTCGAATACAAACCGGACTCGAACAAAATGAACTAGATCAACATTTTACAATTCTAGTTTCGCATTACCACCTATCCGACGCGTTCTGCTAGAGAGCTTAATAATCACTAGTCTACCAATAACCGTTCTCTTCTATTGACGTTAACCCCGGGGAGGTGGGCTTTACCTCTCGGATGCCGGAGTCCCCAAGACGTCGCCTGAAATAGCTGGTTATCGATGATCTTGCCAAGCTGTATTCTTCATTGTCCATTAAGCACAAGACGACCAAAGGAGAAAAGGGTCGAAGACAACCATACCTGAGTAAAACTGTCGATACCCCACTATACAAACAACTTCACCTTTGCCGCAAAGGACAGGCTTGAGCTTAGCACCACACACCTTCTAATAACGACTCCAAAACCTGCACAAACCAGCCAAGAACACTACCAACCAAGGATCAAGTGACCTTCGATCAGTACTGGGATATGTACTTTGGCCAACCATGACACTGGAACGAGCAAGGAAAAACGACCTAGACTCGCAACACCGGTTGTCGTCTTTGAGAACCAAAGGCGAAAGGCTGTGACAATAAGAGACATCCCCTGGTGTCAACAGAGGAGAGCAAAATGAAGTCCAGGAGATCGAAACTCTGAGAAAGAAGCCGTCGCTGCTTCCTAGAGGTACCAGAACAGTGACAAGATGGAGCTTCCGAAGAGAGGAGAGACATCAGTTACTCATCAAACATGGCCATAGACGACCAGAGTCCAAGCTAACCGAGGAACCCTCGCGAGACCCTAACCGAGCTGAGCACCACCACCTGCTGCATACCACAACTCGCGGACTGCATCCAGATAACACCGGAACACTCTAGACTCAAACGAGGAGGAGACGACCCGCATCGACACCGACGCAAGACCGTGATTCCAACCGTAATCAAAATAACTTCGTTGTGGTGGGCATACAAATAATTGTTTTGTACTACTTATCGTCAAAGAAATATTACCGGTGAATATTTTTAAGTCAAAGTGAAAGTTCCATGTCTTGAAACTCTTTGAGAAGCTTCTCGAAATCGTCTAATCTTTGTCCCCAATCGTTCTTGATCATTAAGGGCCTCACGTTACTGTAATCAACACCATTATCTCTGGTGGACTCTCCCGCAGTGGATAATAGCTCCACACCTCTTATCTTCTTCTTTTTATCGGCGTTCGATCTCTTCCTCTGAGCCGTCGCTCTCTGAATCGCCAAGAGCACCTCTGATCCACTAATCTCCTTCTCATTTGGAGACGGTTTGTTCGGGTTCGATTCTCCGGACCGGACAAAAATTTGTTTGCCTAAACCGCAGACGGACTCTGAATCAGATGTTTGTGATTTCCTCGGGATGTTACGATGATGAATTTCGTTCTCAATACGCGGCGGAGGATGTGAGTAGCCACCGGAGATTGATCCGATTACTCCCTTGAAAAATTGAACCGGCATAGGTGCCGGTTTCAAGGTCCACATCGTAACTCAGGATTCTCGTTTTCTTGAGGTGGTGGAGAATCCACCCACACATATACGACTAATCAGTACCTTATTGGGCTCTCATAAACAAGTCCCAATAATGTATGGGCCTTAATATAATATACTATGTGACAAACACATACGTAACTAAGAGCATCATTATCGGGTAGGCCTAGGCGTTTCGGGTATCTGTTCAATTCGGATATTTCGAGTTTCGGGTACTTCGGTAGGGGTTAGAGGATCTATTTACTACTTGACCTATTTTTGGTTCGGTTCGGATAGTAAAACTAGGAATAAAAAAATACCTAGAAAATTTGGTTTTCATTTAGTTTCGGTTCGGGTAGTTCAGGTAGTTCGGGTAAATTATCAGTTATTTAGGTAAAATATCAAATAATTAGAATGATTTAAATACAAATTTAATATTTTTCTAATTACTTTAGATATTTGGATAAAATTATCTGTATACTTTCAGGTAGTTCGAATACTTAATAATTATTTAGTTATTTTCAACTATTTTTGGATACTTCTAATAGATTATTAAATTAAGATCATATATTTCGTTATGTTATATGTATATAAAATTAATATTATTATATATTCGAATATCCGTTCGGTTCTCGGTTCCGGTTCGGTTCAGTTATTTGGATATATAAATATAAGAACCGTTCGGATATTTAAGAATTTTGGTTCGGTTCCAGTTTCGGATATTTCGGTTCGGTTCCGTGTTTTTTTTTTCACGCCTAATCGGGAGAATAAAGGGGTGCTTAGGACAAAGCTTAAGGGGGCCCACAGAAAAGAGAGAATTGGGCGCTTCTGATGCCAAATGAAGCATCCCGTTTTGTATGATGCTTGCGCTGTGTGCGAGCTCTACCGACACGTTGCGGTCCGCGATTAGTTTTTTTATATATGTATATATATTTTTTTTATCAGATATAAATTTTTTAAAAAGTAAAATAAAATAAGCACCCCTAATGGGGAGAACAGTCCAATAAAGGTTTTGTAACTAAGAAAATTTAAATGATTTACGCTATGGAAAAATTATTGAGAAAAAGTTTAACTATAGCAAAACTACAAAATTGTCGAACATTTTTTTCAGAAAACACTACAAGAAAACACGCCTTTAATGAGGAAAAAATACAAGGAAAATATTTCTTCGTAATGTTACGTGTACGTAACAAGTAGATTACGACGAAATACAAATTTGTCGTAATGAACTAGTAAGGTTACAATGAAACGCTTTCGTCGTAAACTACAAGTAAATTTATGACGAAGGTACTTGGAAAAGAAAGACTCGTTGTAAAGATGAAGTAAAATTACAAGTACATTACGAGTAAAGTTTAACCGTTTATAGTAAACAAAAACGTGTTCTTAAGTAACAACATTCGTTGTAACATGGATGTAAAGCATGTACAAAAAACTTGTAAAGTCGTAGTAAAATGATTCCTTGTAAATTAGTTGTTAACTCTTTACCAACCAAGCTCGAAAATTTCCTATATATATGTCATTCATAATCACTTTTAAAAACACCACAAACAAAAAACATCACAAACAAAAACAAGAAAAAAACGAAAGAAAAAGAATTCGATAACTTATGTATCGAATTTCCAAGAAAGTAAAAGGCGCGAACAGTCACCAGAACAGTTCTTATCAGCTTTGCGTAGCTTTTTATCGAGAAAACGATGAATAGCTACTCGGAGTTATAAGAATTGTTCTGGTCACTGTTCACGCATTTTATTTTTCTTTAAGTAAATAACTTTCGTTGTAAAGTCGTCGTAAATTTACTAGTGCTTTACGACGAAAACTTGTAGGTGAACACGACTTGAATGTGTATCTGAAGTCGTTGTAAAGACATTGTAACCTATTTGTTAGAGACATGTAATATCCTTGTAAACATATTCCTTCTTAATACGTTGCAAATTTTCACCTACCAATTTTCGTGGATCGCCTATATATATGACCATTTCTCATTTCTCATTTCATACCACCACACAAAAATAAAAATAAAAATAAAAACAACTCAAAAAATGTCGGATGGAAGAAATATTTTTGAATTGCGGAGTTGGATGTATACGCATAAAGACTCTGACGGTAGAGTGACGAATGCATTTCTTAGCGGGCTTGAGAAGTTCATGAACCAGACAGCCTGTACACCACTCACGCATGAAAGTGGTAAGATGTTATGTCCTTGTCAGAAATGCAAGAATTCAAAATATGCCCGTACTGAAACTGTCTGGAAACATTTAGTACACAGAGGTTTTACACCACAATATTATATTTGGTTTCAACATGGAGAGGGTTATGGAGGAAATGAAGCTAGTAGAAGTAATAGTAATTTTCAGAATGTCAGTAATAATTAGGGTGTTGAACAGATGGTAGACCATGATAGGGTTCACGACATGATTACTGATGCATTTTTAGAAACTACTACAACAATAGCAGATGAAACTGTTCATGTTAAAGAACCTAATTTGGATGCAAAAAGGTTTTATGAAATGCTAGATGCTGCAAATCAACCAATCTACACTGGTTGTAGAGAAGGTCACTCTAAATTGTCTCTAGCAGCTAGGATGATGAATATTAAAACGGATCATAATTTACCTGAGAACTGCATGAATGCATGGGCCGAGTTGTTTAAAGAGTATTTGCCAGAAGACAACGTGTCAGCTGAATCTTATTACGAGATTCATAAATTGGTTTATAGTCTTGGGTTGCCTTCGGAAATTATAGACGTTTGCATCGACAACTGCATGATCTACTGGAGAGATGATGAGAAGCTAGAAGAGTGTCGATTCTGCAAGAAGCCACGATTCAAACCGCAAGGACGTGGAAGGAATAGGGTACCGTACCAAAGGATGTGGTACTTACCAATTACAGATAGGCTGAAAAGATTATATCAATCTGAGAGGACTGCCGCAGCGATGAGGTGGCATGCTGAACATGTCCAGCGGGATGGCGATATTGCTCATCCATCAGATGCAAGAGCTTGGAAACATTTTAACAAGGTACACCCATATTTCACAAGTTCTATTAGAAATGTCTATCTTGGATTATGCACAGACGGATTTAATCCATTTGGAATGTCTGGGAAACAATACGCTTTGTGGCTAGTCATTCTTACGCCGTACAACCTGCCTCCGGAGATGTGCATGGAACAAGAATTTCTATTCTTGACCATATTAATCCCTGGTCCGAAGCATCCAAAACGGTCGCTAGATTTTTTTTTCAACCATTGATACAAGAGATGAAGGACTTGTGGTCAGAAGGGGCGAGGACGTATGATTGTTCCTTGAAAAATAATTTTACGATGCGAGCAGTTCTGCTTTGGACGATAAGTGATTTTCCTGCTTATGGTATGCTTTCTGGTTGGACTACACATGGAAGGTTATCTTTCCCACATTGTCTTGGATCAACAAATGCTTTTCAATTGAAGAATGGTAGGAAGAGTTGTTGGTTTGATTGCCATCGTAGATTTCTTCCCCTTACCCATCCATACCGAAGAAATAAGACATTGTTTAGGTACAAAAAAGTTGTAAGGGATAGTCCTCCTCCATATCTCACTGGAGAACAGATCCTAGTGCAAATTGATTACTACGGAGCTCAGAAAACTGTTCCACGTGGAGGAAACTGGCATGTTCCTGGAAATATGCCTGATGGATATGGGGTCAGTCACAATTGGCATAAGAAGAGTATATTTTGGAAGCTGTCTTATTGGAAGGATCTTCTTTTACGCCACAACCTCGATGTTATGCATATAGAGAAGAACTTCTTTGACAACATCATGAATAAATACTGAACGTCCCAGGAAAGACAAAAGATAGCAAAAAGTCAAGGATGAACTTACCTGATATTTTCTCAAGAAGTGAATTACATATCAAAAGCAATGGAAGCATTCCAGTTTCTATCTTCCGATTGTCATCAGAAGCGAAGACGACTTTGTTTAACTGGGTTCAATCAGAAGTTAAGTTCCCTGATGGATATGTCTCTAATCTTTCAAGATGTGTTGAAAAAGGTCAAAAGTTCTCAAGAATGAAGTCATGACTGTCATGTGTTTATGCAACGACTACTTCCATTCGCTTTTGCTGAGTTGCTTCCAGCAAAGGTACATAAAGCACTTGCAGGTAAATATTGTTGATTAGTTAATAATATATATACATATATTATGAAATGTTAATATTATATATGCAATATATGCAGCAATTGGAGCATTCTTCAGAGACCTAAGCACACGTACATTCAAAGAAGAAGTTATCGAGCAATTTCATGAGAACATTCCGATCATATTGTGCAACTTAGAGAAAATCTTGCAAAGGTGCAAGGTTCAATAATTGCTGGGAGTTTGACCGCGGAAACATCTCACTTCACATCATACTACACCAACAGTACGTACAAGAAAAAGAGTTCCTCGAAGATATGATGATGGTGGAGTAATACCCACATATCCAATAAGCAATGTTCCTGATATTTTCTGCCAAATTGGATGGTTTGGTGGTAGATTGCGAGAAATATGGTGGTCTAGTGACGGGGATAAGCATAGTGCCCACACATATATTCTGCTCAACTGCGAGCATTCAGTGACACGTTCATTTGAAAGGTAAATATTTATGTGAATTTAAATTATATGAAGTGCGATGTTATATATATATTGATGTCAATACATTCATTTAATTTGCATTTCCTTTGTAGCCCAAGTTGACGCAGCAATACCTGGAGTATCTACAACTGAAGTGGACCGACGAAAAGATCAACACTATGTCACGTGGTTAAAATCTCAGGTAATATATATACCTCAAATATTACGTAAGTAATGCTAATATAAATTGTTAACATAATAATTTTTGTAGGTTAAAGCTGATGATCCATATTACCCCCCATGGTTTCACGATTTGGTCCGAGGTCCAGTAGCGAAAGTCACCACATCACATATGTATTTTACACGCGGTTTTCGTTTCATACATACAACTATGAGAGTCGACGGGCAACAAGTAACTACGGAATATGTGTGAAAGGCGAAACAGACTTCTATGGGATCTTGCAGGAGATTATTGAAGTGGAATTTGCAGGTCTATTGAAGCTTGTCCTCTTCAAATGTGAGTGGTTCGACCCTGTTGTGAATAGGGGTGTTCAGGTTAACAAATTCGGTGTTGTGGCTGTCAACTCTTCAAGAAGATACAACAAATTCAAACCTTTCATCTTAGCTTCTCAAGCCGAGCAAGGTAGCTTCATTCCATACCCTCGCCTTAGAAGTTCAGGAACAACTTGGTTAGCTGTTATCAAGATTACACCTCGTGGACGAATTATTTCTGGGGAAGAACCACCCTTGCAAGAAGAAGCGTGTGTCACTGAAGTAGAAGTACCTGATCAAGAAACTGATGAAATCTTTCTTATTGATCCGCATAATCATCAATACGAAGATCTTCCCAACGATGTGATGGATGAAACATGTGAAGACAAATTCGAAGGTATAAGCGATGATGATTCTCCTGATGTCGATGAGAACTCGAATGATTCCGAATGATGTAAAATATGTACCACATGTTGTAAAATATGTATCAAATGTTGTTCTTTTATATCAATCAACGATGTGTAACAACAAATATAATAAGTTTAACAAATATTGTTTAGTATAGTAAGTTTAGGGTTTAGAGAAATTTAGAAGAAGAAGAATAAGAAGAAGAATAAGAAGAGAAGAAGAAGTAACTTTGGGGTTTAGGGATTTGATTTTCGGGGTTTCATACATTTCCTAGTTAGTTCGTCGTAATGGAAACACGGGCCTGGTAAGTTCGTCGTAACATGAAAAACACGGGCCTGGTAAGTTCGTCGTAACATGAAAAACACGGGCCTGGTAATTTCGTCGTAATAGAAAACACGGGCCTGGTAAGTTCATCGTAATAGAAAACACGGGCCTGGTAAGTTCGTCATAACATGAAAAACACGGGCCTGGTAATTTCGTCGTAATAGAAAACACGGGCCTGGTAAGTTCATCGTAATAGAAAACACGGGCCTGGTAAAAGCCTTGTCAATTTACGACGAGCTTACGAGGAAGGCAATTATCTATATAAGCACACTCGCATACAAGGTTGCTCGCCTCGTTCATTCCTCCTTACCTCCTCTCCCTCTCAAGGTAACCTCCTTTTCCTCTCAAGGTAACCTCCTCTCTCTTCTTTTTTTTTTTTTAGTTTAGTTTAGTTTTAGTTTAGGTAGTTAATTAGGTGGTTAGTTTAAATGATTAGGTGGTTAGTTTAGATGATTAGCTTACGTAATTAATTAGTTTAGATAATAAGTTTAAGATAAACTGATGATATTTATTTTTTTATTTAGATGACTCCTAGACCGAAACCGATTAGACCACCTCCTTCGTATAGTGACTTGTTTGGTACTGATGGTATCAGGACATCGTCTTCCGGCCCGTCATCTTCCGACCGTGTGCCGGAGTCTCAGGCATATTATCCCGGCAATGATATACCATATCATGAGCTGCCTCCACCTTCCGGTCCTACTCGACATCCCGGTCCTAATCCCGCACCCGATCCCAATCCCATTCCCGCAGGCGGTGATCAGGTTCATCCAGATTTGCGGGTACCTCCCATTGCACCATATGCTGCCTATACTGTGGAGGATCTTCTTTCCCAACCGGGGCGAGAAGGTTTAGATATTATGGACCCGATCGTCCGCAGGGTACTTATTGGTAAGGTTTTTTTTTTGAATTCTCAATTTTTTATTTATAAAATTCATAATTTATATTATTTTCCAGATTTGGAGCTAACAACCGCGTTAGCCGGAGTGTTTCAGACACGATGAAGGGGTACTTTCTCGAGCCCCATCCGAATTGGAGTATGACTCCAGACCACGTGGAGATAACGTGGTTTAAAATGTTTGCGGTAAATATGTTTATAATATTTAATATTTATTTTAATACTATTTTTAATATTTTAAAATTATCTTTTTTGGTTTCAGCAAAAGTGGCATTGGCCATTATCGATCAATGAGAAGGTGAAGGGGGCTTTTATAGCAAAAGTCAAGACTCGTCTTTGCAACACCGTCTCGGATTGGAAGGACAAATGGGAACTCTACGGTTATGAAGGGAAGCCCAAGGAGATCTCCAACTTTGTATGGAATGGTCTCATCCGCTATTGGAGCCTACCTGCCTCCATCAAAAAGTCCAACTCATGTTCTTCTTCCCGAAGAAAGAAGGATAAGTACGGAAATGACCCCATGCTTCATAGAACCGGCCAGAAACCTCATCCTGAGATTCGTCTAGATGTTGTAAGTTTTATTTTTAATATTTTTAAAAAAAATTATTTGCTAATTAAGTAATTAAAAAAATTAACTCTCTTATTTTGTTTGTAGGCCGAGAAGACCGGAGTCATGCCATCTCTGACTGAGCTATTCAGGATGACTCACGCCACACTAGATGGAGTTTTTGTGGATCCACGTTCCGAGAGACTCTATAACAATGTGGTTTCTCGGGTTGAGGAGCGGCAGACACAACTAACCCAGCAGGCTCCCGATGGTCACCCATCACATTGACTACAGAAGAAGTCGATCGGATTTTCGAAGAGGTAAAATTTTTGAATAAATTTTAATTTGTTTATATTAATTCGATTTTATTAATTATTATTTCAATACTAATGAACTTTTTTTTGAAACAAGGTGGCTCCTAGAAAGAAGGGACGGACGGTGGAAATAGGCTCCGTTAACGAAGTTCCAAGGGCAACTTCTTCATACACTTCGCGCCGGGATGAGGAAATTTCTCAGATGCGATCTCAGATGCGGTCCCAGCAGGAGCGTTTGGACTCACTTGAGGATTTTTTGGACATCATGGCCACCGATAATCCGGTTATGCAGAGAGCGCTAAATGCAAGACGAGCGGCTCTCGGAATGCAGCAGCAACCTCCTGAGTCAACCGGTCGACCCGGCCCGGAACTCAGCCGCCCCGACGAGTATCTCCGCACCAATATGCCGTTGTTTTATTTTATTTTATTTGCTTTTGTATTATAAATTTAAGTATTATAAATTTATATATTATTTATGACTTTTTTAATATAATATTTTGTAAACAATCTTAATTTTAAAATTTTTGATTTTATATTTTAAATTACAAAATTTATAAATAAAAATATATAATTTTAAAATTATATTATATATAAACACCAAGTAATTTCGTTGTAAACTTTACAACAACTTAACATCGAATGACAAGTAAGTTCGTTAGTAATGTTTACTACGACTTTACATGTTCTACTAGTAATCTACTCGTAAATTTACATTGACTTAACATCGAAGTTTTACGTGTCTATTACGTCGAAACGGAACGAGGACTTTACGTGGCAGGTTAACGTGGAGGTTACGACGAAGTACTCTACATGTCTTTTACAACGAATGGAGTTCCTCGTAACGTTACGTGGACTATATGACGAAAAGTGCATTACGACGGGCGTTTAACAACGAAACGGCTTTCCTAGTTAATTCATCGTAAAGGTCCTATTACGATGAATTAACCACGAATATAGCCTTAGTAAAAAAATTGTTTTCTTGTAGTGAAAGATACACATAGTCAATTTATCCAAACGTTGACACTGAAGGACTGATCCATTGATAATAATCAGGGAGTTACCCAGATTGATACACTAAGCTAGCTGGCGAGTCACAAGGACCCCCATAAACTAAAGCCAGCAAGAAACATGCTTCTTCTTGAGACAATAGCCAGCAGTATCAAATACCCAAGTGGTCCAGACTCGATGGAAGCTAACCCAAACCCGAACACAAAATCAAATAATCGAGTCCCTGCACTTAAACTAATTGGTCGATCGGTCTAAGATTTTTCTTAGTATTGTATAATCATATTAAAATACGAGATTTAGTTGAAGTCTGCATGTGTGTAGACGCCACAATATGAGAGGAAGTTCTAAAAGAAGAGATGATAAATTCAACACAAAAAAACAAAGAAAATTGCTAACATGAATAGTATTACTTATGTTCATATGTCTAGGATCAATTCATGAACATTCGTCTAGATCCCAAATTTGTAAAAATATATAAAATATACAAAATAACATTTTTTACTAAGATTTATCTTAAAATGTTCATAATTTTTTTAATAGCTCGGCCTTCTGCGGAACAGAGAACAGCTCTATGTTTGTGGAATAGATCGAGTTGGTTTTTCTTTCAGATAATAACAAGCAAGATCTCACTTGCATATTGGCCAAAGGCTTCGATTTTTGTGTTCATTTTAGATGGCCACCAACCATAAAAACACCGCTGGAAGTAGGTAAGAATGAATCAAGGGTCCCCAGTTTGAAGAAAATAACATAAGAAAACCTCTGATCTCTTAAACATATCTTTCATATTCATTGGGTAAACCTACTTCAAACAACTAACACCTATATAATAATATTTCACAATATTTTTACACTCTTAAAAGCAGGAAAAAAAGAGGGAAGGAAAGGAAGGCAAGTAAGATTTACCAAGGCAAAGAAGAGAGACGTGAACCCCAAGCATCTCGGCCTCTTCTTCCTTTGTCTTGATTACTTACAAGAGGTTTCTTTGTTGATTTGTTTAACTTAGACAGCCTCTGAACAGTCCCACTGGTTTCAGTTGTATCTTTATGATACTTTTTCTTCTCAATGTTCCAAAACTCTTCTTCATTGTCAGCCTCTAGCCTACAAAGAGTAGAAACTCGCAAGAACTTAGGGTTATTGCTTGGTTTCTCAGGAGCTATCATCTCAGAGTTGTGTGACTCTCATTCTTCTGATGGATCTGATGTTTGTTTCTCTATCCACCTTGCTTTAGCATCTGCGTTCTCCCTCTCTTTGAGGTTCATTAAGATCAAAGTCTTGAGAAAGTTCATCACTTGTACCGCGTGGATCAATGCGGTTAAAGGATCTGCCATCTACAATAACAAATCATTTTCATGAGAACAGAAAGATATATATAACATTTTTAATTAAAAGAATCAACATTTTTTTTGTTTGCTGACTTGAGTCATGTTTGGAGCGAAAACCATAGCTACATTGCGAGCATTCATTTTGTTGAACTGTTCATGCTCAACCACATCAGCCATTAGACCAATGGCCCAGTCTAGAAGTGCAGATTCAACGGAGGAAGTAGAGTCACGAGCCTGCTACAATCTTCTTCTGTGTTACATTTCATTACCTGCTCTGGTGTCAACACATCAAGCACTCCTGTTGGTAGCTCCCTAAACCAGGCCTGGTTCAATAAAAAAAATATCAAACCTTATCAACTTAAAAAGTTGAAGAAACGAAAGATTAATGTTATTTGTTTACACCTTTATTAGACCAGCCAAACAATGAACATCGATTCCACGTGGTACTACACCACGGTTTAGCTGTTTTCGGACGTGCTCTTCTTTGGCATTGTCTGGATTTATTCGGAATATTCCTTCAGCCTAAGGCAACAAAACAATTACACATAATATTAGTATTTTTTAATTCGAAAGTTATCAAAATTTGTTATGAATAAGAAGAGAGTACTATAGAGGCTTTACTTTAAGACCTCCTTCGGTATAAAGACGTTTCTGCATCCTGAGAAGGATAGTTGGGATGCTATTTCCTCTGTTGTCGTAAGAGCATTGCATCGACTTCGCTGATACTCCAAAAACACTCGCACTGAAAAAATAATAATAAAAGTTAGATGTTATGCCTATAAGTTATGTCATCACAAAACAACCAATCTTGAGTCCTTTTCAAATCTATCTACTGACAATCTTTACTCTTTAAAAAAATTGTGGCCCCCCATTTTCTAGAGATCCATAGATCTAACGTCTACAATAGTTATTATAAAGGAAGAAAATAGATTTGTATTTGGTGGTATATGGTTTTTTCTACTATGTGTTTATCGGTTAGACGAAATCATGATTTTTATGCTCTTAGTTGCAGCTATTAGAAGATAACCGATGTAGGAATTGATTATCTTTTGTCAAATTTGTTATGTATTCGTGTTTTTTGCTTACAATATATAGTACTAGTATAGAAGAGCACAATATATTTCAGGATATAAATCAGTCTAGTGAAAGCCATATGATAGATCATCATAATAAACCGAGCTTTCTGCCTGGAGCTTTTACTATAGTTTCGGGAGTAGAATTTATGATCAAAAAAAAAAATTGATAAAAAAAAAAGAATTTTATAGACTACAAAAAAAGTAAGAGAATCTTCTTCTGTAAACGAACGCTTGTCGTAATCAAACATTTAATCTAAAGAACAGCCATCTTAATGATTCTATCTAAGAGAACATTTAAACATGTCAAGTACAGATTTCCAGCTAGGAAAATAATAAATATTTGTTCAAGAAATATGAAATTAATATCTCAAAGAAAATATTTTAATTGAATTCAAAGTATTATAATCTTTGGTGATAATGATAATAAACTAACAAAAAGTTAACGGACCTGACGCTAGGAGCTCGAGGAGGGACCTCCGGTTCAAGCTCAGAGGGGAGACCGAGAAAACCATTAAACCGGTCGAAAGTCACATGACTCAAGTGCTTAACCTCCGTCGGCCAACCTATATCCATGTCATCACCACCTCTCTCCATGGTATAAGACATTACCAGCGACTTCCTCAAAACAACCGCCAGAAGGTCGAGCATCGTGAACTGTCCAGACCCGGATCTCGACCCGTGTGAGCTTAACGGTGTGGATACGTCGTAGTAGTCTATGCTAGAGCTGTGTTCTTCTTCGTAATCGTCGTCGGTGATACCTCTAGCTCCTGTGGAATTGGATCGGGAGAAGGTAGTCATTGTTTATTCCGGTCTACAGGAGATACTGTGAGAATGTAATATAGCGGTAGAGGTAAGCAGGGAGGTTTCTTTTGAATGTGAGAGAAAGAGAGACGTAGACCCTTCGGTGAGGAAAAAATACAGATAATCGCGTAGAAACAAAGTGAGGTTTCTTTTGTTTTTTTTTAACTAATGTGCTTTTGTTTTTGGGATCTGTGTTTAGTGGATAGGGAAAAAGAGTGACGGAGACGTACGTGAAAAATGAATTCAACGTATGCAGTAAAAAATTCATGGTCTTGTAATGTTTGAAAAAAGAAGATAAAGATTATGTCTTTTTTTTTTGGTCAAAGAAAAAAAAAAGACTTATAATCTTTATCTTCTTTTTTCAAGTCTCATGATAAGATTTATATATTAGAATAGTCCGGCGGCTCGTGACCCTGCCTAGGAGATGATTAGGCGAGATGGGTGACAACTGACAAGTAAGAATGGGGGACATACGAGTCAGTGTTATTTTTGGAACTTTCTTTCAGTTTCTCTTATTTGCATGGTTAATCAATGTATCGGCAATTTGGTTTCTGTAGCTCGGTGCCCAAAAAAAAAAGAAAAGGTTTCTGTAGCTCTTCAGTGTATGTGCCTCATGAAGTTACCAAAGTTTTTTTACTTCATACATCGACCATGATTAACTGGAATTCTTAGGTGGGATTTTTTGTTTCGACTAAGAACTGTTTTTTAGTTTTTAATTAAGAAAAACTAAAAACCGTCTTATAAATAAGAGATATAAAAACTGATTTTTAGCCGAAAAATGTTTAAGAAAAAGTTAAATCATAAGTTAAGAACCTCAAATTAAAAACATGGGTTAATCATGCTCTAAATGCAAGGATCTCATGCATTTCAAGTAGATACATTATCTCTGCACATAACCCTAAATGCAGAGGTTTCATGCATTTCTAGTAGCTGAATAGTGTAAACAAATATGCTTACTTTGTTTTTTTTTAAATGCTTAAATATACTATCAGAAGCTTGTTTTGTATCTTGTTCAAACGTTTTTTCTAATGAAGATCACTAAATCCTTAAGAGATTTTTACAAAAATGACTCAAAACTCCAAGTCAAACACAAAACTAATCTTCTGTTATTGAACATTTCATTTGTCCAATCCACCTCAAAAATTTTGACTATTCACGAAAATGTCATTCCTTTTTATTTTTTTATTTTTTTATTTTTTCGAAATGATTGTTTTACTCTCTCTCATCCTCGTCTTCATCAATTAATCACGAAAATACCATTGTCATCAATTCACCCAACAACCATGAACAACCAAAATGAAGCTCTTAATACATCTAAAAATGAAATTTACTCATTCATTCTTAATTTCTTATATTTTATGCCCCAAAATTACATCTTTCTCACTTTCTATATATATTCATTCAAAAAAATCCAAATTTTTTATTCTAAATTTTTTAAGGGTCATATAGTCATTCAAGCTCACAGTTTCTGATCATTAACGATTGAGTAGTTGTTATGGTTAAGTTGTGTGTGTATGGAGAACTAAGCAGTATCTCTCAGTTGTTGTTGAATGTATGAATTGAATTTTTTCCCAGATTTGTTGGCTAGAAAACTTAAGTGTAAGTATTCTTAGTCGACAAAACTTCCACAGAAGTCTTCTGGTCAAAGAATAAGTTAGTTTTGCAATTGACTTTTTGTGTGTGTTTTAGAGAAAGCTGTCGTTGAAGTTTTTCAACTTTTCTTTATTGACAAAAAAAGTCAAGAAGACTCACCTAGAAATCTTCTCGGATAAACATGTTAGTTTTGCAACTGACCAATATGTATCAGAAATTTGACTTTCTATAGAAGACTTCCAAGTAAGTCTTCTGGTAGAAGAATTACTTGGAATTTTTCTCAACCTTTACATTAAGTTTACTAAAGTCTGTGTAGGTTACTTTTGCAACTGAAAGTTTAAACTTAAAATATTTAATTTAAATTGGGAGACTTTCAGGTAAGTCTTCCGCCCGAAGACTTACCTGGAAGTCTTCCAGATTTTTTTTCCATGATTCTGGTCACACCTAAGGTAATCAAAAGTCTTACACTGATAGCGAGTAGACTTAATGTAAAAGTGAGAAGACTTTTGACTTACCTGGAAGTCTTCTGTAGAAAGTTAAATTTCTGACACAATTGGTCAATTGTAAAACTAACATGTTTATTGGAGAAGGCTTTCAAATAAGTTTTCTCAGTTGTTTTCGAGAATTTTTATATTACAAAAGTAAACCATATTTACAAAGGAAGATTTCCAGAGAATTTTCCTCTATAGGAGACTTCTATGAAAGTCTTCCTTTGCAAATTTTTAATTGCAAAAATTACCTAAAGGGAAGACTTACCTAGAAGTCTTTCGCCAGAAGACTTATCTGGAAGTCTTTCGCTAGAAGACTTACCTGAAAGTCTTCTCTGGGAAGACTTCCAGGTAAGTCTTCTACGACCTTGAATAATAAACTTTCATTTTCTTCAAATTTAAAATGAATTCTCAAGATTTTATTGTTAATCCATGTGTTTTACACAATATTTGGGGTCCTAAATGAAATTCATAGCTTAATTGGTGATAATTATGAGATTATTAATATTCATGTTTTTAATGTTTCTAGCTAATCTGAGAAGACTTATTGGAAGAGTTTACAAAAATTACTTAACATTCGTGAAAATACAAGTTTACAAAAACTAACGTGGAAAACTTTCACGGAAGACTTCTGCGAGAAGATTATAATGCGTACATGAAAATGAAGTTAGAAGAGTTAACCTACTCATTATATCTTATTATAAAATGTATTGGTTTTACTTTTTAAAAGACTTTGTTGATTTTCTTCTTAGAAGTTAAAATTTATGAACAACTATTCTAAGTTAATGTGAAGAAGTTGTTTATAGTTACAAACTAATATTTTGTTTTTGCAGAGTATAGGAGATCCAAAGATGAGAAGAACTACACAATGATCATCATGTTTTGAATTTGAAAACCATTGAAGTTTTTTATTTCATTGATTTGTAAAAATGCAAAACAGATTGTTACCACATATATTACATCTTGAGAAACATCATTACTGGTTTTACAATCATAGAACCATATTTTTACTATACTCTTGTTTACTTTAGTATTGTCAAGTAAATTTGAACAATAAACATATTTACCATATTTTCATTAATATTTCTTCAAATTTACCAAAAAAATCACAAATAAAAAATACACATACAAATCACAAAACAGACCACAAACAAAACTATTATAGATCATTCCTTCACAAAAACAAAACTTGGACTCCACTTGATATTAGAGAAGACGTTAGAAGACTTAAAACTACATTAGAAGATTTAAGAATAAACCAAAAGACTTCCAAGAAAGTCTTCTGAACATCTTCTAAACGTATTCTGAAAGTCTTCCAATGTGTAACTCAGATCTGAAAAAACCTGCAAAAACAAGATAAATTAGTAAGAAAGACATAAGAAAAAAATGAGAAATTGATATAAATGTTGGTGTTTTCATGTTTAAGGAGATTAAAGAGAGGTTGGAGAATTTTAGTTTGGAAAAAAAGATACGAGCTTTATGAAACAAGAGATTACTAAATGAAGAATAATCAGACGTGAAAACTTACCAAAACGTTCAGATCAGTTGTGAAAGAGGAGACATGGAACAATACTACGTCAGAAGACTTAAGACTACGTCAGAAGACTTAAGACTACGCCAAAAGACTTAAGACTACGCCAGAAGACTTCCAGGAAAGTCTTCTGAACGTCTTCCACTATATGACTAGATCTGAAAAAACCTGCATATCCAATAACATTAAAACAGAGAAAAATTTCAAAAAAAAAAAAACAATTTTTTAAGCTTAAATAATAACTAAAACAATCACATTATGTTGAATCTATAACTTATTAGAATCTAATATATAAAAGACAAAATACATATAAAAATTATAGATTTACCTTTAAATGAGGGAAAGATGACATCTATGTAATGAAAAACTTGCAAAACAAGATAAAATGGTGAAAACACATAAAAATAAGAAATTGATATAATGTTTGGTGTTATCAAATTCAAATAGTTTAGAGAGATGTTAGAGAATTTTAGAGTGAGAAATATTACATTTTTGTTGCCTCCATTTTAGAGGAAGAAATAGAATGTGTAAACTTTTATTTCTATAGGAAGAGAAAAATTGTAATTAGGTTAAATATTTTCGATACAGAAAACTTTAGAAGACTTATATGAAAGTATTCCAAGAAGTCATCTAGACCATAAATTTACTATTCTTCCAGAAGACTTACTTTGAAAACTTACTATTCGCCCAAAATATTTACTATTCACCTAGAACACTTACTATTTGCCCAGAAGACTTACTATTCGCCCAGAAGACTTACTTTAGGCAGGAGACCTAAATTTTAAAAAGCAATTAAGCGGAAAATTGTTGTTAAGTCATCCAGAGTCTTCTAGGGCATTATACCCTAAAATCAATTATCGAACTAAATCACATACAAAACCTTTATTAAACTTAAAAAATAAACTTATAAAGTGTGTAATATACACAAAACTAAACACATATAGGTCAAATTTAGTTTTTTTTTTAAAGAAAAAAATTAGGATTCCACGATTTACCTTAAAAACACTTACAATACTATAACATAGCTACCAAACCCTAAACCAAAAAAAGATCATGACTAACTTACATTCACTCATCTATCTCGAAAAAAATCAATTTTATTAAATCTAAATTTATATCACTTACAAAGGTCTATAATTAGATAATTATGATTTTTTCCCTATCAAAATATTTTTTATGAAATTTATAAATTATTTTAAGAACTAATACACTAGAAGAATTTAACTGGAAGACTTATTGGAAGACTTAATTTTAGGCGGAAAACCTAAATTCTTGTAACATTTTAAGTGGAAAAATGATGTTAAGTCAGTCATCAAGTAAGTCTTCTAGTGCATTATATCTTTGACAATTTAAGTCTTTAAAACCCCAAAATCAAATATATATATAACTAAATCACATACAAAAGCTTTATTAAACTTAAATTAAATTTATAAAGTGTTATATCTGCATAAAATTAAACACATATAGCTAAAACTTATTTTTTTAAAAATAAATGTTAAGATTCCACAATCTAA